AGTATTTTGGAGAACTGGTAGTAGAAATTTTGAGTAGTTCGGAGAACTGGTAGTGGAAATTTTGAGTAGTTCAAAATCCCACCTCTGACTGGCCCGCCCCCATCTATTCTCTGCCTCCCATTGAGTCCCAGCTGATCGGCTGGGTCTTCTTTGGTTGCCCTGCACAGGAGAATGGAGCTGGAAAGCAGGCTAGTGGGGTGGGGAGGGAATGGGAATTTTGCAATAACCTTCCCCTGCCATGCCCACCAAGTCACACCCACCAAGCCACACCCCCAGAACTGGTAGTAAAACTTTTTGAATCCCACCGCTGGACAGGAAGATCTCAATGATGCTACCTAACAGAAGACACTAATCTGAGCTAGAGAGTAGAAGGATAGGGCAATCTTTGGAAATTGGTACCAGCTTTGGGATAGTTTTGAATTGTAAAAAACAAAAGAGAGAATGATGCATTCGTACAGGAAATCCTTACCTGGAAGATGCCAGACAGAACAGTGACGGATACTGCCACCATGACTCTTTCTTGGTTTAGCGATGAATTGTTCATTGCTTCCTCGGTGTTCCCAGGCTCATTGGGGACCATGTTTATAACGGCTCCTCCTACCATCAGACTCAGGATGGGGAAAGGTCCTGTGTGACATGATTGACAGATTGATCCATCTATCAAACAGTTCCTAGGACTTTTACACAGAGGTGGTCTTCAGCCGGTTCTGACCAGTTCTGGAGAACCGGTAGCAGAAATTTTGAGTAGTTCAGAGAACCAACAAATACCACCTCTGACTGGCCCCGCCCCTATCTATTCTCCACCTCCCATTGAGCCCCAGCTGATTGGCTGGGTCTTCTTTGGTTGCCCTGCACAGGAGAACGGAGCTGGAAAGCAGGTTAGTGGGGTGGGGATGGAATGGGATTTTGCAGTATCCTTGCCCAGCCACGCCCACCAAGCCACGCCCACAGAACCAGCAGCAAAAAAAATTGAATCCCACCAGTGCTTTTATACCACCCAACCTAGCGAAGGATTCTATCACTAATGAAGCCATCGCAATCCTGAATAGGATGATGGACGATGGAGAGTCATTGTTGACGCTCGCAGATTTTCTCCCTGGTGATCTGTCCTTCAGGAGATCTCCCAACAGGGCATTCATCGCACCTGCAACTAACCATCTTGGTCTGGTTCTATTCTTCTGACAAGAATAGAATAGCAGAGTTGGAAGGGACCTTGGACGTCTTCTAGTCCAACCCCCTGCTTAGGTAGGAAACCCTATACCCATTTCAGACACATAGTTATCCAATCTCTTCTTAAAAACTACCAGTGTTTGAGCATTCACAGCCTCTGGAGGCAAGTTGTTCCACTGATTTAATTGTTCTAACTGTCAGGAAATTTCTCCTTAGTTCTAGGTTGCTTCTCTCCTTGATTAGTTTCCATCTGTTGCTTCTTGTCCTGCTTTCAGGTGCTTTGGAGAATAGCTTGACTCCCTCTTCTTTGGGGCAGCCCCTCAGATATTGGAAGACTGCTATCATGTCACCCCTAGTCCTTCTTTTCATCAGCAGGGGTGGGATTCTACCAGTTTGCACCTATATTTCTAGAACCGGTTGTTAACATTCTAAGCAGCTCGGAGAACCGGTTGTTAGAAGAAATTACTGGACTAATCCTGTAAGGAAGGCAGGAAGGAAACATTCTGGTGTTGCTTACAGAAACTGCCTCTCCGTTAACCCTTATTATATTCTTGGCAGGACTAGACTTCCTGTCTCAGGAACTTCTCTGGAGTTTCCCCCCCCCTCCTTTGCTGGTACTTTGCTTGTGTGGAGTGACCATTCAAAGTTACAATGGCACTGAAAAAAGTGAGTTATGACCCCTTTTCACACTTATGACTGTTGCAGCATCCCCACAGTCATGAGAGGCCAGGCAAGGAGAAACATGCCTCAATGTGAGTGATATTGAGTTGACCACGCCCAGCGAATAACATGACCACCAAGCCCCGCCCACCAACTAGGCCACGCCTACAGAACCGGTTGTTAAAAAATTTGAATCCCACCCTGTTCATCAGACTAGACATACCCAATTCCAGCAACCTAATCATCTTTGTTGCTCTTCTCTGCACTCTTTCTAGAGTCTGAACATTCTCCTCTGTCCTTCCATCTTCCCGACCTTTCGTTCTCTTAACAATTGTGCCACAGTCATTAAGCCATCATGGTTAAGCGAAGCAATAGTTCGTTATGGGGCCGTTTTGCCAAAACCCAAAACTAAGTGCCAAGTTTCTGCGAAACCATCATAAAATGTGATCACATGATCACGGGGTACTGCAAACACCCATAAATGTGTCCAAGTGCCCTATATTTGCTCCCTTGACCATGGAGGTAGCTCAACTGTTAGAACTTCAAATCCAGGTCATTGGTCTGCCCTCTTTTTTTTTAGTCAACTAAAACTTTGAATGGTTTGGAAAACTCCAAATATTCCTAATGAAGAACTAGTATTACAAAAAGTAATGGAAAGTGCTGAAATGAATACGTTAACGTTGAAATTGAGAAGAAAGAGAAGAATCTGAATATTTACTAATTTGGAATAAATGGTATGACTGGGTAGCAAACAGAACTAAGAAATAAGACAAGAAATCTAAAAAAAATCTGTAAGAATCCTTAAGAAAGTAAAATGTAAATATGTAAAATATATAAGAATATAAGAACAATAATCATAGTTAAAATTATTAATGAATACTAAATAAATGTAAATACAATATGTTAAGATATTTAAGATAAGAACCTGTATAGATGTCAAGAATGCTGTTGAAACTATGATGTTTTATATTGTAATAACAGAAACTTAATAAAAACATTATTAAAAAAAACTTTGAATGGTTACTAAGCAACTGGTCATAACTGGAGGACTACCTGTAATCAGGGGTGGGCTGCTGGGGGTTTGCAGGGGTTTGGGAGATCCTCTAGCTAAGATTCTACCCAGTTTGGAAAACCCCCAAATCCCACTCCTGGCTGGCCCCACCCACCCTGCCCCGCCCCTCCCACGCAGCCCGTTTTGGATGCAGATAAGAGCAGGGTGAACATGGAGGCTTGAGGAGGGAGAAAAACGGGCCTCTGAAGCCTGAGGGAGGCCATTTTCGCCCTCCGGAGCCTGGGGAGGATGAAAAACGGGCCTCCCAGAAGTTCGGGAAGGCCGGAAACGGGCCTATTTCCTGCTTCCAGAGAGCCTCCGGAGCCCCGGGAGGCCGTTTTCTCCCTCCTGGAGGCTCAAGGAAAACCTCCGCAGCCCAGGATGGGCAAAAACATGCCCCTCCAGCTGTGGTGCATGAGGCCGACTAGGCCACGGCCACCATGGCCAGGCTCATCCAGCAACCAGGCAGAGAACCCATGGCTACAATTTTTGAAGCCCACCCCTGCGTCTAACTAACCATGAAGTGAAAGCCAAGAGCAGCTTAAAAAAGGAAAACGGGACTAAATAACACATATTTTGACTGCAAGGGCAACTGTGGCTTCATGCTGGCTTATTCCTGATCGAAACCAATCATGGCTTAATGGTACGTGTGAAGACAGCTTCAGAATTGCCACATCCTTCTAAGGCTAGCTGTATTTATCCATACAGTAATCATGATCCTAGAGGCAGTTTGGTGTAGTGATGAAGGCATCGGGCTGGGAACTGTGAGACTGTGAGTTCTAGTCTGGCCTCAGGAATGAAGCCAACTGAGTGACCCTCATCCAGTCACTCTCTGTCAACCCCAGGAAGGTCGGAATGGCAAACCACTTCTGAAAAAACTTGTCCAAAAAACTGCAGCGACTTTTCAGGCACTTTCTAAAAATTGGACACAATTAAACAGAGGGGGGAAAAATAATGACCTTAATGGCTTGATTACTCTGCCTGTAATCTGTATATACCTCCCCTTGGATGCACCAATCACTCAACCTCCAACTTTGCAATACAACTCGAACGTCGCAATAGGTTTTGTATTCCGTGCATGTGGAATAGTTCGTTCCCTGAATGAAAGCTAAGAGGACAATTTGGTCAAGACATTTTATTGTTCCGTGCAGGCACATCTATATTTAATAGAACGTTAGGTCCTTTTCACATTCGATAATCCTCCATGGTCATAAAAACCACCCTATGCCACATATTTATGCTGCCTCCCTTGTATGTGATTATGACACAGAAGTTTATGCTGGCCCCTAAGCCCATGTTTTATGGTCCTTCTCAGCTGCCCTCGATCATAAACAATGTAATTTGAGCATCGGTTCGGTGGAGCATATTATACCATGAGGCTAATTAAAACCTTTGCCCCCAAGTTCAATGGGAATTTAGTTCAACTTACCGACGGATATATGTCTGGAAGTGCCAAAGAAGAAATATACAACCACAGGGAAGAAGGCTGCATAGAGTCCATAACTTGGAGGGACATTTGCCAATAAAGCAAATGCTAAGCCTTCAGGAAAAAAGAAATAATAATAATAATATGAGCGAAAAAGTACAGGGAATCCTTGACTTAAGATCGTTTGCTTAGCGGCCGTTCGAAGTTACAACGGCACTGAAAAAAAAGTGGCACGGATGTTTTTCACACGACCGTTGCTGCCATCCCTAGGATCATGTAATCAAAATGTGGACGCTTGGCAAGTGGCATGTACTTATGACAGTTGTAACATCCTTGGGTCACATGATCCCCTTTGGAAACCTTCTGATAAAAGCCAAGTCAATGAGGGAAGCCAGATTCACTTAACAACCGTGTTGCTAACTTCAAAACTGCAGGGATTCACTTAACAACTATGACGAGAAAGGTTGCAGAATGGGGCATAAAACTCGCTTAAAAGCTCTTACTTAGCAAGATAAATGCTGAGGTCCATCACGGCCGTAGGTTGAAGTGGTGAGGACAGCATCTCAGGCAGAAAATAAATAAATAATTCTGTGATTAACCAGAATGCAAAGCAGCTACCTTGTAGGATGGCGACCAGCCCTGTGCTAATTCCCGAAACGATGTCGCTAAGAAGCCAATTCTTGATCTGATATGCAGGTAACCAGGAAGCCACGGGAAACAAGTGAAGAGCGGCACTTTTGACCCTTTGTGGAGTGCACCTGAAAAGACAACGGGGCATCAGGCAACCATTCAAATATGGACTGTTAAGGTCTTGGGATTTAAGAGCCGACCAGCAGTGAAGTTGATGCAATATAGGATGATGCAATAGGAATGAATCATCATAGCATGGGTATTTCCCTTTAAGTCTGGGGATGGATTCTACCCCTTTAAGAGGTGTTTATATAAAGGCAGCCATTAGAGGGCATGTTCTCTCCCCTTGTGTCCAGTATTCATTGCAGAGTTCTCTGTGTAAATTAAGAAGAAGAAGATTGCTTATAAGGTATTTTGCCTGCCACGTATATGCCTGTGTATAACTGTTGTATATAAACCACTGTTAAATGTCTAAGTCTCTGAGTGCTGTGTTTTGCTCCTGGGTTGTCTCACAATAGTAGTCATGCTTCCAACGCTCTGACATGGACATTTTTCATGGAAACAATGTATATCAAAGAGAAAATCCTACAATCCCTCAGATATTCTACTACTAATATGGGGCATGTGATTAGATTAGAAAACTGGAAGCCAAACTGTATGATGAATG